AAAGTTTTAGAAGAAACAAAACTTCAGCAAATCAAGTTACTTAAAAAAAAAATCACTTAAAATATCATTTGCTTAAAAATAGTCATTCGATTAACATGGGTTGATAATACTCTGGTAAACTGTTAAGTATTGAGACATTTGAAAAATAAGCTGATTAAATCTACATCAAGCATGGCTGCCATCTTGTGGGGACAGGATATAATGTAGTGAGGGGCCAATCTCAATAAAGTGTCCCTATTGGGTTTCAAGTCATCATTTGACCTCCATCTACCAATTGCTTGATGTTTATTAATATTCCACTTAAAATTCCACATCAACATCCTGACAGAAGAGATAAGAGGTCTAAACTAAAAGAGGTCCACTCATATATGTAACTGAATTCTTGCCCCTAAATGTTCAGTATCATGGCTAATGTTTGGACAGTGAAAAAGCTTTGAAATTCAAAGTTTTGACTTGAATTAACTTTAATAATAGATGAGTTTGGTAAAGCGCTCATATTAAAAAAAAATGAATCAATCTAGTTGTAGAATTTGGTTGGAATTTATATCTCATTGAGTTAGAAGAAAATATGACAGTACCCTGACAGGGCAGCTTTACAGATTTAGCAAAAGTTTTGAAAGGGAGGAAGAGCTTAAGAGCTTAATGTGGAAGGAAGGAAGAAAGGAAGGAAGGAAGGAAGGAAGGAAGGAAGGGGATATCACCTATCACCAAGGATAAAATTTGCACTAGCGTCACAAATAAAATAGTTGACAGAGTAGAAAGTGGTGAGTCAGTGCAAGGTGGATCTGAAAAAAAAGAAAAAAAGGACATAGTATACCCAATGTGAATATGTTATATAGGAATATGTAATTTAATGATTTTCTTGAAACATATTTAAGTCAAAAATGTGTTTTCTAAGTTCAAGTCTTTCAACAAATATCAGCACAACTTCTGGCACTCAATTTCTCATCCTCTTCTAGAAAACCAGGCATTGAGTAAGAAAAGCCCTAAAGTCCCATTGAACTCTGAATTTCTTTGATCTCCTAAGTATAAAAGTTGCCTTTGCAGCCCCTCAAACAAAAAGAATTTATGTTTTTTACTTCTGCAAATGAACATTTCAATTATAATTTTACAGCCATAGTTTGTTACTGCTTTAATATATAGGTGGTCAGTCACTGCCCTCTTGTAGTTTTCCTTTCATATTCATGTTAAAGTTGTAATATACTTACAGTCTTTTGTGTGGCTAACCATATTTATAATACTAATGATACAATTGTAGCTAATTAGAAATAATGATCAAAATGCATTTTATTCCATTTTTTTCTCTGATAAAAAGCTAACTTTTCTCCCTAATTTTCAAGTAGGCCATCTCATAAATTTACAGATTTTTATAATAAAACAAAATAAATCTCTTGAGTCATGAATATTATTGAAGAGTTCTTTAAAACTGACTAATGTAAGTTGACTTATTGCCATTATAACATTCAGTGAGCAGCTGATTTTTAAAGTTCAGACATTGGAATTCTTAATATTTTTTTAAGTGAAAATGAAAGAATTATATGTTGCAAGGATTTCCATTATGTTACTTTCTTTACACACAGTACATTGTATACCATTAAAGGAGTTTGCACTTGAACGTCCCCTGTAACAATGCAAATTAGTATTTCTCCCAAATTCTGTTTTCTTTAAAAAAATAGTCATTATACTTTACATCTTAAAGCTGTTTAGATTATCTACCATTTCTTCAAATTATTGATGTTCATATTAAAACTAATGCCTGAATGAAGTGACTGTCTCCACAGAGGAAGAATAAATTCATGAATCGTGGCTCATTGACATTTTTAGTCCAAAAAATTAACCATTGGTTATAAAACTTTAGTGAATGAAAGCTACTTTTTCCTAAAAAAATATGCTAGAATGTCACAAAGTTTTGAATTTCAGTTCAGCCAGTCAGCTGCATCAGCCACTTCCATATGGCTAACAGATAGCCTTCATAAAAAGCCTATATGAAAGTACAACCAGTGAATTTGTTATTTTTTCCCCTCTGGAACTTAACATGTAACTTACACATCAAAAACTTTTGTATCCAGATAACTAAATATTATATCACAATATGCAATTTTTCTAAAATAGTAGGAAATATAGTTAACATATAATTTTAAAATGTGCTTAAACTCATATTCCATACAAAAACCATTAATTAGGACTTACTGAGTATAGAAATTATTTGCACAGTGAAAAGATTTATTGATATTCTTAAATTGAAAATCAATAAGCCACTGTTATGCTTTAATTTTGCATTAATTTTCTTGTGTTATTTTTGGAAAGCTACATCTCATGGTTCTATTATCTCTTCTGATTGTCAGAAATGGTCATTTTGATGCCTTTATAGTTTTTTGTGATGTGTCACTCAGACTCATTTAAATGTTTGAGTATTATAAGAGTGGTTCTGAACTATGGCTTCACATTAGAGTCACCTATAGAAGTTTTAAAAAATATTGGCCAGGCCCCAAACACAGATATTTTGATTAAATTAGCTTGAAGTGATCTTTTTGAAAGAATTTCCCAGGTTATTCCAAAGTGAAGCTACCTTTGAGAACCACTAAATGGGAGGATTTGGGAATAATGAAAACGTTTTGCTCATAATACACTAGAACAGATTTCCAAGAGAGAAGACAGTACGAATCACTATATTTAGCTATCTCCAGGAATGACATTTATTAAGCCAGGACTGGGCCAGCTAATGTTTTGAAGTTCCTCCTAGTTCTCTGATTCTAAGATATTATAGTGTTCTTTTCATGTTAATGGTTATTTCACAATTTTTTTTCTTGATAGAGCACATAGTGACTCATCAATTTTTTAAATGCCCTTGTGAATAATATGACAGAAGCAAGCTATGGGGAGATATATCCCTTCTTTCAAAGACTTCATTATCTGTAACAACAAAATATAATCCATGAAATCACAACAGAACCCTTTAAAAGGTAAAGTGACATGAACAACAACATTAACACAATCAATATTGAGTCCACGTGTACCAACAGAAAAAAGAGATACAGGAATGATCAAAACGGAGAGGAATTAATCAGTGATGGCCTCTTGGAAGCACTGATTTATTCCAGATTCAGAAGGAAGTGATGAAATTCAAGTCAAAAAAGGGGCTCTATGTAAAATGCTGCAGGGAACAAAATGTGAATAAGCGACGGTCCTCACTCTCAAGGCAGCCATCTGATTCAAAAGTAGTCCCATCTAACTAGAATACAAAGGTAGAGTGTGCTATGAGAGCACAGAAGAAGGACGAGTTTATTCCATATTAAGGGATGGGACATGACTTCATGGGAAACATTTGAACCAAACCTTGAAGCGGCAGAGGAGAGAGGTTGGGAGGATGAATTGATGCCTTCCAACAGAATCATAACAATATGGCAGCACAACATTTTCTGGAATGTTCAGAGCAAAAATACACAAGATGAATGAAAGAAGGTATTTCACAGAGGTGAGAACATAACAATTGTGTTTGGAGAAACAGTAGCCTACTTCACCAGGCTAGAGAGAGGGCTCCAGTAAGAGAGTCAGAATAAAAGAGATCTGCCAAATTTGGAGGTAAGGGAGGGCTCTGAAAGGTTGTTTGAGGAGTTTGACATCCATACATCCCAAGTGGCAACATTCCCAAAGGATTCCAATTATAACTGAAATAATATTAGGTTCGTTAATACCTGGCCTCATCTAGTCACTTGGTTGTGTTAACAAATCTCCAGCCTAAAATGAGGCCAGACTGGATATAAGTCAATCATTAGAAGAAAGGCAGTCACAATCGTGAGGATTTTACTTTAAAGCATAAGCTTGCAGAAAATCCTTTCATTCCGGGACTGGGAGGCTGTCGTTCAGTACTTTCTCAGCTCTTTCCATGGAGGAACAACCAACTTCTTCATTCTGAATTTATATACAGTATACAGGTCCGTTATCAAGCTACTCAACGTAATATTTTGATCAAATGTTTCACTGAAGCATTTCTCTTTTACTTATTATTTTTTTACTTCAAGATTTTCTTTATTTCTCTATCCTGACTGCTTACGAAATACACTGGAGACAGAAAAAAAAAAATCACTGTACAAAAGGTAATTAGCACGTCCTCTCCTTTTTATAACTTCATAATTGAAATCTCATTAAAAGCTTTCTAGGTCTCTTTTTCCCTTAGTGACCAGGTGGCCCTAATTTGTTTTTAAGCAACGTGACTAATTCCAGGCAAAGACGAGAAAAAGTCTGATACCTGGAGAAAAGCAATAGCAAGGTTAAATAAGTGGGGTGGCTTTTTTAGGTTGCCTTTAACCTCGTAAAAAAAAAAAAAAAAAGGCTTCAACGTCTTTTCTCTTCCAGTCCTGCCTTTTTCTCAGTCCCGGTTGAAGATTCCAAGGGAAATGAGAGCACTATTTTGTTTCTCCCTTGTATTGCAGATAGGGGGAGGAGGTGGTTATTAGAGAGAAGCTCTTCCTCTCTCGGTTTCCCCCTCTCTCCGCCTGACAGCACCGCTCTCTCGCGGGCTAGCTCGCTCTCCTAGGTGATCCATTTCTAGGCAACGTGAGGCGAGTGCTGAAGCTGCCAGGCTCGCTCCTTGCTGGCTTCCTGCATCCCGCCAGGCGAGCCGCTCCACAAGCATCCTGCAGCCCTCGGCGGCTTCCCTCCGCCGCCCGGCGCCGCCGCTCGCGCCCGGCGCAACTCCCCCGCCACCGCACCGGAGCGAACCGGCTCCCCGGGCCGCCTCGCCGAGCTCCGCTCCCCGCCTCGCGCAGAAAGGGATTTTCTCTGCATTACTATCTGCATTACCTTGAAGTTCACTTTTACAACCACTCTTGGAGAGGGCTTTTTTCCTCTCCCTGCTGGAATCTGGCTGCTCCGCTTGGAATCTCTTAACCTTTCCTCTGCACTTACATTTTATTTTGGCAGCGAAGACAAGTGATTCTCTGCGGGCCGTTGGGCGGGGGTGGGGGGCTTTTTTGGTTGGGGGAGGGGGAGGGGAACATCCGGCGTGAGGGTGGGGGTGGTCTGTTGGAAGTTGCGGTGGAGCTGGGACCGGAGCCCCGCGGCCCCGGCGCAGCGATGGGGCTGGTCTGAGCTCAGCCTCTCCCCCTGCCCGAGACCAGCCGAGACTGGATACATTTTTAAAAAGCCAAACTGCAAACAACTCTGGCGATGCCAAAATTCTCCTCCAAGTGACACGGCTTTGCGAAGGAGGTTTCCTCGGGCTGGGCTCTTTCTCTTATTCGCTCTGCTTTCCTCAGCGACGATTAAAAGCTTTGCTCTGGCAATAGAAATTGAGAATAAAAGAAAAAGCTGCGCTCAACTATCCCTCGTGACCTCAAACTCTTTGGACTGGTTAAAAAAAAAACTGAAAGAAAATCCATCCTAAAAGAGAATCAGCATAGGAGGAGATGGAAGTTTTCCCTTTGCTGTTGGTTTTGTCCGTCTGGTGGTCTCGAACCTGGGACTCGGCGAATGCGGATTCGATCATTCACATCGGTAAGAAAGGGCTGGTGCTGCCCGTGGGTACTTTTACCATTTCGGTTCGCAGTGTTTCCCTTTGCTTCCCCCTCGCCGCCCTCTGTGTAGCTTGTTGGCAGTGGCTTCAGTTCATTGCCCCTTCCCGCTCCCCTTCCCTCGCACTTGCTCAGTTTTCTGGCAGGATGTGGATGCTCGAGCCTTCACTTGGGCTGTTGTTTCGCGGCGAATCGTGGAGTGTGGGCTGGATGCGTGGGGGTCTCGAGTTTACCTCCGTGTGCGTGTGTGCCGGGGCGTGCGGGGGGATGCTAAGTGTGTGGGGAAAGGAAGTTTCATCGACTCTACCTTCCATATTCTTTCCCGGATGTACATTTGCTCCATTTTTAAAAATTATCCTTGGAGGAACAGAGGAGGTGTCACCTGTGAGGCGGAAAGAACTGGGGTGGGAGGTGGGGGGGAGCTCCCTTCGGATCGAACAGGTGGTTTTGCAACGTGAGCGGGCTGCGTTCGCCGCAGCGTTGTGCGATGCTGACGGGGTGCTGGGTGCGCCCCCAGCCTCCCTCTCCTCTTCCCGTCCTCTTGGCTTTGCGGTACTCGCGCTGAGTCGCCGCGACGGTCGCGGGAGGGGCTGGCGGCCGTGTGGCCGAGGACTGGGAGCCGCGCGCCTCACTGCCTCGCACAGGCTCCCTGGGCCTGGCGCGGCGGCCACCCCGACCCCGGGGCGCTAGCGAAAGGCGGGGAGCCCACGCGCGCGCGCGCGGCCCTCGGGGGCTGCCTGGCAGACACCTGCCTCGTCTCGCCTCGCACTCAACTGAGTTGCGGCGCAAGACTAAGAGCAGAGGCGCTGGGGCTCCGGCCTTCACTCCGGGAAGGACGGCCGAGCTGGCTGCGAGATGCTCGTGGCCCCACCTATTGGCAACCAGACGGGCCGGGACTGGCCCCGGCGGGGTGGCGGGGTGGGGGGGCTGCGTGTCATTATCATGCACAGCGCTCGCAGCTTCAGGCTCCAACTCCTCTCACTTGCTAATCCGTGAGAGCTGAGCGGAGACGGGCTTTTGCAGCCTTGTCTGTGTTAATGCGACGATTTCCTTTTCGGAAATTCACGTCCGCGGACCAGCAAGGTTCAGTTACCGGGCTGAAGGGAGGCCTTTCTTGGGGAATTTTTCTGGGCACTCGACTTTTGGCTTGATGTTCTGCAAATTGAGCCGACAGATGGGTCGCAGCATCTTCCCTTTCTGTCCCCTTACCCCTCCCCCATGCAACACACACACACACACACACGTACACACGTACACACGCACACACTCTCTCTCTCTCTCCTGGAAGGGGCACTCGCTGCAAGTGGCGGTTGTGCCTGCCCAAGCGAGGGGCTTCTACCTGGTGTACGCGCCCACAGTGGCCAGCCGCTCTGCTCCAGGGACTCCCTCTCTTGGTCTCAGAGGCTGTCTTTGTCAACATGTCTGCCATTCTCTGTCACTTATATCAATAGAACCATATATGTCTCTGTGCAAGGGGTAATGAAGTCAGGATTCAGAAAACCTTGCACTTTTGCGTTAAGTAAATTAAGCAGTAGATGGCTTGTCTGCTAGGTCACGTTTTGCCTGGGGGCTAACAGTGCCTATGGGTTCAGAACTTTTCAGGGAGAAATTATGGTCTCATTGAGGGGTTCAGTAACGTTCCGATAGAGTTCAGAAATGAACTGTGCTCCTCTTAAAGAAATGACGTGCATTTATGTCCAGCTGTAAAGGACCGGAGCGGGAATGCAGATATATATTGTCATCTTACTGTACATTCATTTTATGATTAGGGCTTTCTGCCTTATGCTCCTCATCGCGCAGGAGGGAAAGCTTGTGGATAAATGCTTATTTTATTGCTTATTCTGTGGTTTACACGATAAATACATTATTTGCAAACACCTACAGCTCTTGCTGTCCTTTGCCAGATGAATACTATTTTGCAATGCAGTCTGGGCATTTGTTTCAAAATAGAACACAACTGTTGTGTTTTTTTCCTTTGCGTTCTGTTGTCTGTCAGTGTGACATGGCTTATTTATAACCAGACCAAAAAAAAAGTGTGTACAAATTATAGATTTCTTTAGAAAGCTGGTTGTATGCATTAACTGTGTATATCCTACTAAAAGAAATAGTTACTTCTCAGACAATTAATTTGATTTGAATGCAATTAGTACATTAGACAAGATTATCTTCTTCTATAGACTACCTAATATTGCCATGAAGCTAGCAAATGGATGATTGTTTCAAATGCTTCATATCTTTTATAATATACTGAAAAATGTTACCTCCTAAATTAAAAAAAAAAAATGACCAAGACTAATTTGTGTGTACTTCAGAGGTTAAAACCTCTCCCCCTTCCACCCCCACCCCAGCCAAAGTATAATAAATTCAAAACTGAGTGCCCGTTAAAAAATTTTGTCACCAGTTAATAGTTATTGGATCAGTTTACTTACTTGGTTGGATGGGAAAAGAGAATTAATTATCTTCAGGAGGTGATTGCCTTCATTTAAATATTTAATGTGAGAAATATGCTTCTGGCAAATGTATGATTTCAGGACTAAAGGGATAAAAGTGATGAAACTGGAGGGAAAGTGAATATTTCGACTCTAGAGATAAAAAGAGAGATGCAGAAATGAAAGGTTTTCCCAGCCTCATGTGATGTCTTCAAATAAAAAGTAGCTGCAGTGTGTAGTACAGGCAAGCTGGAAAGATAAAAAGACCCTGCTCTAATAGTTTCCTTAAGTATTGAATCCTTTTGGTATTGAACCAAATGATATGTATGAAAAGTCTCTCCATCCTTCTTTCTTTCTCTCTGTTCCCACTTCATGCAGGTAGTTTAATATCAATTAGGTATTTTAAACTCTAATAGTTTTATTAAACACATTAGCTCACTGCAATGATGAGATATAATGGTTAAACTCTAATGATTGAAATGGAAATGTATGTATTTCAGTCAAAAGTCCACTAATATTGTAATTACTTTGATTTTCTGTTAAATCATATTTTAAAGATTTTGATAATTACATACACTTGTTTAATACACATGCACACACACGTACACACACACAGTATTTAGAAATGAATCACCTCCATTGTGATCTTCTTTGCCTCCCTGGAAAAAAGCTCTTTTGACATATAAAAACTATGCAATTTTGAATTACGCTTCTACTTTGAGCCTGTGCGTTGATTGAGTAATTTCATCAGACCTACATTACTTGATTGCTTAGAAGTTTCCTAATGATCTGCATGCTGTAGGAAGAACCAAAAAGTCGTGAGTGGAATGGCAATGATACTGTGTTTTATGAGGCTATTCAGAAGTCGCTCTGATTTATGTAGCTAGAAAGCTCCCAAGTCTTTGAGATTAGCCATGCTGACTGCTATTTTCTTCATACATCAGTTGTCCCACACTCTACTCCCTCAACACCACAGGATTGTAGAGCACTGCTTTAATTAAGCAGGGATTAGGTGGAATTTCCAGTCAACTGCACAGTTTGTGTTTTGTTTCATATCTAATATGGAGGATCTCGTGTTTTAACAGTTTAATGTATGCTCATTTCTTTATCTGGTTCCTGTGCTCAGAGAACTGATGGAAATGAGCTGTCCTCAGTTATGTATCTCTAACAAGGGACCACTCAAACAGTGTACTTATTTATATATTACAAAAATCTCTAGCATGTTTTTGTGGTTATCAGTCTTAGTAAAATACCTTATGCCAGCAGGGAATAGAAACAAAGCATTTATTCATGTTTTTCTCATCAGCAAATGATACTTTATTCTCTGAGATCATAATCATCAAATATGACATGTTTGAGAAGGCTAAGACAATTCACAGAATATTTTCATTGTGAGAAAGTTCCAATTAAAGTACAAAATTGGTGGGTGAATAAAATGTATGACCACATTAAAAATAATAATAGATGGTAGATATAAAACATCAGTTTTCATTACTTCTGCACAGAGGACTGTTTTTATCAAATATAAAATGTAATAAAAGCATTTCCAGAAGATGTACTGTGTCTTCTACCAAAATGTTTCTTTTTCAACTCTACGTGATTTGCATTGGTTGATGATAGCCCCCAGGAGTCATCAAGGACTCTTTGCACTGTATAAGATCTCTCTATGATTTAAATTATCCTTTTATTATTTACAGTGGTTTGTTCCCTAAGTATGGATAATATACAGTGTAAACTTCTAGAAAGTATTAAGTGGCTTCTGAATTTAAGATAAGGGTATATTTTGCTATTATTCTTTTCCGTATCATTAATACAGTTATTTGAAACACAATTCAGATGTGCATTGTTAGACAATGTTATTAATCAACGATATCAGCTATGACATGACTAATAAATTATTACACTAAGGACCTTTGCTTTCTACTCCAAGTGAAGTGTACATCCAATAAATACCTCCTATAAATTTTAATTCAAATATAAATAAAAATCGAGATGATTAACTTTCAACTTACCCAACAATACAAACCAGTTGAGATTGTTAGGAGTAATGGAAGATGCATTACATTTAATTCTAATTTCTAAGGCTAAGTTTATCATAATGTAATTTTATTTCAAATGGATATTATAATTTTAAAACCATGCTTTTTAATCCAGAAGTTGTTTTTCTTACTTCACTTGCATATATTATTTTAGTTTTACAAAGTGAAGTATTTGGCATTGCTATTGGATCTTCATGATGTTTCGGATTACAGATTATTGGTGAGTAGCAATACTTAGACAGTTTTACTACAAATATAATGTTTATTGGAAAATACATTTATGGCCTATAAATATAGCTTTGCCATTAGGTGTCACTGCATTCTGAGCTGTTCCTTTGTAGTCCTACTTGAAAATCACATGAAATATTTTCTTACATTCTGACGAAAAAAGTGCCGTTTTATGAGGTTTGTGATGCTAAAAGATACAGGTGGTTTTTATTTTCAAACCAGAAAAGGAAATATTATCCCTGTCTCTTATTCTTGTAAGAATTTAATTCTAGGACATATTCAGCACC